ATTCCTGAAAATGCCTTTTTAATTGAATTATTTATATGAAATTTATTTTCTCAAAAATGCATTTAAATTATGCATTTGTTGTGATATATTAAGCAAAATGGGATCAACTAAATGAAGGATTGGATGCTTTCAACATAATTATGACATATTCTGCAATTAATCTCATTCTTCTTAGTCTTCACGTGAAAGTCATACTAATATTAGATTATTGATTGTCAGAGTAATGTCAACCCAACACTCGTATCAAACATTACTCTATAATAATTTATAAATATTTATCATTTTTATATAGTTTACGGTTAAAATACTCATTTACAAATTATAACATTTATTTGTGATTAAAGTAAACCATTGATTAGGAAAATGTTTAACAGAAAAATAGATAAATAAAACTACATTTACTTAAAGAGCGAAAATGCATTGCTGTTGACAAATGAATACCAAAATATACTGGAGTACTGTGTATATAGAATACTGAATATAAAGTGTCTGTTCAGTCATAAACAATATTCTTTGAATTAATCTTAACATAAAATTGCATTTTACTTAAACTTGACTTTATTTGACAGATAGGGGTAGACTTTGCGCTAAAAGTAATCAATTGGGATGAAAACACACTCATTAGACTACAGTTATGGGATATTGCGGGGTATGTCACGACAAACATTTGAACATTAAAATCATATTTTCAATGAATTGATAGTCAGGAGAGGTTTGGGAATATGACGAGAGTTTATTATAAGGAAGCTGTCGGCGCTTTCCTGGTATTTGACGTGAGCCGACCCCCAACTTTTGAAGCCATACTCAAATGGAAACACGATTTGGACACTAAAGTGTGTTTACCCGATGGTTCTCCCATTCCCTGTCTCCTATTAGCTAATAAGGTTTGCATATATATAACACATTTGAATCAATGAATCAAATACTGTATATCTATTAACTGAAATACCTGTGAATACCAGTGCGATATGCCTAAGGAAGGGGCCGCCAATAGTGCCGATACTCTGGACAAGTTCTGTGAAGAGAACGGCTTCTGCGGCTGGTATTACACGTCTGCCAAAGACAACGTCAATGTCGACGAATCGGCTAAATATTTAGTGGCAAAGGTTTGCACATAAACTCACAAATGAATAGTTCAACGATTGTCTCACCAATTATTGTCTCATCTCATGACAGATACTGCAGAGACAGAAGACATTGGCTTTGGAAGAGTCGACAAACAAAGACATCTTGACTCTGGATTACAGCAGTCATGGCGACAGCACCAGAAGGCGATGCAATTGTTAGCCATATATTCGTTAAAATATGGTTTAATTTATTAAAGATTAAACAATCATTCACTGTTTTCGACATACATTTCTATTTGATTCAATCTTCGGGTTCGTGACAATGCCTTTCATATATCGGATCAATAAGTCTCTCATACGCTATGCGTTAACTCTTTTATAAATATTAACAAAAAGAAAACTTTGAAAATATTTTCGTTAGCTTTGGAGTGATTTTCCAGAATATTTCTAAACATATTTATAATGAAATCAAACATTTGTTTATTTTATTTTCACGAAAACATCAATCGATTTAAAGATTTTATGTCAATATTATGTATAATAATAAATGATTTTACGAACAGATTTTAAATGAAAATATAATTTACAAAAGATATATCGATTTATTTATATCTATGATTGTGTGCGAGTCGTGAGGGAGGGCCAGACAGCATAGGGCCAGACACCATACCTGCCATACCTGAAGAACCGGCGGCTTTCTTCCACTTCTCCTGATGAGTAAATTCAGTCATTGGTTTCCCGCCCACACCTACACAACCAATCAGTCCCATTGAATACGATTTAATGATAGCTTTCATTCATTAAACAATCAATGCATGCATTCATTTAATTAAATGTTTCTCTAAGTCGTTGCTAACCATAATTAGTGCCTTAAGATAATATAGTTATCTATGATTTTAACACTAATTAATTTCATGTAAAGTTTACTCATATAATTAATACCAAATAATTAATTGGTTTAACTTTTCAATTAAATATGAATAGCGGTAACAATAAAACGTAACTTTTTTGTTCAAGAAAAAGTGAGAATATACTGACTTGTGAGAGACATTTAGTAAATAAAAAGCATATCAAATGTCAAATTCATTAACAAAACAATTACTGACCACAAGTGCCAACGCCTACTCTCCCGGACACGGATTCAGGCGATGCAAAGATACTCTTTTTGGTGGCGCCCTTCAGGTTCTTATTAAACGCCTATAATTGCAATGAATGGCACCAAAGAATGGCATTAATATTATCGTCTATTGAATAGTTAAGTATTACAGGGTTTGTGAATCAATGCAAGGGATAAATAATAATCAAACTAAACATTAAACAATTATTAAACAATTATTAAACAATTATAAAGACATTAAACATACTTTAGTGTTGAATGACTGCCACTTCACTTTATCCTTTTCTCGCTCTTCCTCCAAGTCTTTAAGTCTCTCCTTCTTCTTCTGCTGCTTCTTCTTAAGGTATTCCTTCTGTTCGGTCACCGCTTGTCTCTTAAGTCTAGTGTCACCGAAAGATTGGGTCGGATTTACTGACGCTTTGCTTCGCTTTTTGCCGATTGGCTTCAGTAGTGACACCAAACATACTTCAGACACTTTGCGGTGTTTGAAGACTACAGTGCACTGGCCGTCGGATGTGATGTCCTCTACTCTCGCCTCATAGAACCTGTCGGTCGAAGACAATCAGTCAATCAATGGTATCACTAATGGGTTATGTGTCCATCACTGCCACCACTGATGGCATACATACTGTCCGTCTTCACTGAGTGGCGCTAAACAGTGATCTCCGGCTTCAAAGATATGACTCGTCTCACTATTTGTGGCGTTATTGGAGGAACTGTTGCCTTCAGACTCGCCCTCACTGGCCATCAACTGTTTGGTCAGTGCTATCACTTCCTGTTGAGCAACAAATAAAACGATTAATCAATGGTTACACGTGTAGGACATGAGTGGTACTGACGAGTAGGTCTTCCTTGAGTTTCGTGAGTTCCTGGTTGTCCGGGTCGGTCGTGAGGGCCGACTCCACCTGTTGTAACTGGATCTGATAGTTACGCAAATTGGCCTTGCTCTCACTCATGGTCACTGATTGTTCACTTAATCACTATGAAATCAATTGATAACTCTTTGTCTCAAACGGACACGAGATGTCAATATGAGACCAACTCTTCGCGCAACCACTCAATTGATGTCTATTTATTTGACAACACTTTTAGCACTCGTTTCATATGATTAACAAAATATAGTCTGAAGTGATGTTTATATTAATTGTGGTTTAAATGCGATCACAAATACAAACCAAATGCCAAAATGTTTACGAAAATTGTGTTAACATTAGAGACAGTGTTTGTATGCATTGAGTGCTCAACAGATGTCGTTGCGGTAAATGTACACAAAATTACAGTCTATTCAATAGACTCTATTCAAACATTTGTCTATTTATTGCATAAGTTTTTTGTATGAATATTGAAACTTATTTTTTGATTACTCTGACAAAACGATTGACTGAAAAATTAGTTGATTTAACAAAACACAATCAAATGCATAAATATATGATGGCCTATAATAATGGCACGTTTCTAATATACCCGACAAATAGTTGTTTACTTATAAATAGCTGTAAATGTTTGACTGATTTATTGCATTTAAATAGATCTTGAATATAAGCCAAACCTATGGTTTTGTGCCAAAATGTATTCACAAACTATACTAACA